CGGCGCTGCTGTAATGTGGAAGTCGAAATCAGCAGTTCTGCAGTGCGAATCGGCTCTCGGTCTGTTCTGTGAACTGGGTTTGAACTTTCTCTCCATTTTGTCAGAAACAGCGACTCAACTTCTCCACCGGAGTTCATCCTAAACAGGACTTAGTTATGTAATCATGTAATAATCTGACTCTGGGGAGCAGTCGAGGTGTAGATGGTACGAAAGCCGGGGGCAGCTTGGTTTGTCTTTGTAGATGAGAGCAGAAGAGGAATGTCTCTCAGCGATGGCCGTAGTCTGGGTTTATAGTTGTCTTATGAAAACTGTATTTATCTGTTCGTCTGAGCTGAATTGTTCAGTCAGAATGTGCCAAACTCAGCAGCTCTGAGGAGCCCAGTCTACTGAACTGGAGATTACAGACCAGAGCTTCTGGAGACATGGATGGATGGATGGATGGATGGATGATGAATGGTTAGATGGGCGGATGGTTTGATAGATGGGCGGATGGATGGATGGTTTGATGGGCAGATGGTTTGATGGATCGATGGATGGGCGGATGGCTGGATGGATGGATAGATGGATGATGAATGGTTAGATGGGCAGATGGATGGATGGATAGATGGATGGTTTGATGGGCAGATGGTTTGATAGATGGATGGATGGGCAGATGGTTTGATAGATGGATGGATGGGCAGACGGTTTGATGGATGGATGGATGGATGGGCAGATGGGCAGATGGTTTGATAAATGGATGGATGGGCAGACGGTTTGATGGATGGATGGATGGATGGGCAGATGGTTTGATAGATGGGCGGGTGGATGGATGGTTTGATGGGCAGATGGTTTGATGGATAGATGGATGGATGGATGGATGGGCAGATGGTTTGATGGATGGATGGATGGGCAGATGGTTTGATAGATGGATGGATGGGCAGACGGTTTGATGGATGGATGGATGGATGGATGGATGGATGGATGGGCAGATGGTTTGATGGATGGATGGATGGATGGATGGTTTGATGGGCAGATGGTTTGATGGATGGATGGATGGGCAGATGGTTTGATGGATGGATGGATGGATGGGCAGATGGTTTGATGGATGGATGGACGGATGGGCAGATGGTTTGACAGATGGTTTGATACCTCTAGCCTTAATTCTAAGCCTAATGCTAACTCTAGCCCTAAACCTACCTTTAATGCTAAGTCTAGCTTTGAAAAAACCCTCTTGCTAACTGTAGCATTAACTCTGACCCAAATGCTAGTGTAATTAGGATTAAGTCTAACCCCAGTGCTGGCCTAATCTAAGTCCAATGCTGACTCTAGCCTTAATGCTAATTCATCCACAACTATTTTAAGTGAAATTAGCTTGTAAACGTCGGTGAATAAGTAATTTCGTCACACCAGTATCGACATTTAGCAGTTTCCAAGCGAAAACCTGCTTTGATCACATCGTCTTTTTCTTGTTCCAGGCGCTGTAGTGAGTGACGGCCGGCTGGAAAAGGCGCGCGCGATCAGGTCGTCATCAGTGTTAATGCTGCGCTGTCTCGGCTCATCAGAGCGCGAGAGCCGCAGTCGCTCTGACACGCAGCAGCGCTCGAACACGCTGAGCTCTCGCAGGTCTCTGTTCGTCTGCGCGCCGTTCGGCTCTGACATTTCAGCTGACATCTAAAATACCACACACACACACGTGGTCACTGTTTGATCATCCTCAGGTGACTTTGTGATCCAGAGCGTTGAGCGCGGCCCACGCTGGGCAGAACAAGGGCGGCCCCCCACCCTACACCCCCCCGTCCCCACCCATCCCCGATCCCTGACTCGCAGACGCTTTCAAAAGCACACATAGCCATCATGTCTCTGAGATTTAACCGGCTTTGACAAGCCGAGCGCTCCAAAAAAAGAACAAACCGCTGAAAAAATAAGCTCTGCGTGCACTCCCACCCCCACCCCCACCACCGCAGGCCTTTAGCTCAGCTCCTCCGCTGGATGACTTTGGTTTCCTCTGCCGAAGATTTTAAAGGGCTCATATTGTACATTTTAATATTTTATTTTCCTCTATGAGGTCTTCCTACAGGCGTTTGTGTGGGTTTATGTGCCAAAAACACAACTGATTTCTACATGATCAGTTTCAGCCTCTTCATCTCTGTATACCGCTCAGTACCTCTCACAGGCCGTTTCTGTTACTGTGCCTTTAAGACTGATGTACGTAAATGAGCTCTGTTCTGATTGGCTGCATCATTAAAAACTGCTGTAGGCTGAATGGGTAGAGCTAAACTGCTATAGGCTAAATGGGTGGGGCTAAAATGCTGTAGGCTGAATGGGTGGAGCTAAACTGCTGTAGGCAGAATGGGAGGGGCTAAAACTACTGTAGGCTGAATATGTGGAGCTAAACTGCTGTAGGCTGACTACAACACAGATATAGACATTTACAGATATTTACTATCCAGAACCACCAGTGAACCTACACGAGTCTTCTGAGTTTATATGGAATGTTGATGATGGAAAATAGTGGAGAATCTGAAATAATAAGTTTTCTTTGGGGACTATTTTGCCTCACAGCGCCCTGCATGTATCCCTCCACCATGAATGGAGTTTAAGTTCTCTAAACTATCATAAAACAGTGTCTCAGTCATCAGGCAGTGAATTCATAACCATTTCATGTAGGAACTTTCTGTGAGGAGCTTTTAGAGGTGGACGTCTGGTTCCTATCACCACCACTATGAACAGTTCTGACTCTGTAAGTTTATCTAGAACAGAGCGTTTCACACCAAACCACTCTGAACCGCTCTGAATACATCTTAACCAGTTAATTATGCAGGAATTTTGAAACGCTGGTGGAATTCCCCTTTAAGAACCTGACACAATGTATGGAACATGTGTGATGATTAAGACGTGTTTAGCGTCGTGCTAATTGGACATGTGTCAGCTTATTCTCTGTGTTTGGGATAAAGGAGGGGATCCCCTAACTGAGTGGTCAGTTTAGTCTGAGTCCGAATCTGAGACTGACCTGTAGGCCACTGGCTGTAACTACGACGACAGCCACAGCAGGATGGGGGTGGGCTGTGTCGTGCTGGAGCCTGCAGGGGGCGCTGTGTGTAGCGTTTAGGCTGCAGGCTAACGGGTGGAGGCCTGGAGTTCAGCTCTGTTCACATTAACTCTCCACTCTGCTTTCGTCTGCTGCTCCACAGCTGAAGGTTCTCTGGGCTCATCGATTGGCCTCCTGCGCGTCTGAGCCTTCATCACCTCCTCGGATTTCAGCTCAGTATTTTAGGAGCTTATTAGGCTCCTGAAAAGGGAGCTGAAGCAGCCCAGCAGCAGGGCAGACAGAGGACACTCCGCAACGGTCAGCGCGATTTTACAAGGCTGCAGTAGAATAACCAACAGTTAATCACCTGCTTATTAATAATGATATAAATATGACGTTATTCAGGTTAAGTTACTCAGTGAGGAATGTTTAAAGGGCCCTTATTGTGCAGAACTGATTTTTTTAAATGAGAATTTTCTGTAAACATTTTAATTTTAATTAAATTAAATTTTAAGCCAGTATGTTCTGTGCACAGAATCTAAATTACAGCCCACTTTTAACAAATTGTTTTTGTGATGTCACAAAAATCATTTACAGATATCCACCTTTTCAGTTTACAGTACTTTTGCCCCACCCATTTAGTCTACAATGGTTTAGCTCCCCTATTCAGCCTACAACACTGTAACCACGCTTACTTACCATACAGCAGTTCAGCCCCGCCCACTCAGCCAACAGCAGTTCAGCCCCGCCCACCCAGCCAACAGCAGTTCAGCCCTGCCCATTCAGCCTACAGCAGTTTAGCCCCACCCATTTACAGTGAAGTTATAAGGCGTGTTTCAGCCCAGACTGCTTTTCGAGGCACAGTGCAGGAAAGCCAATCAGAACAGAGCTCATTTATATATTCTTAAAGGCACAGTAAAGGAAACAGCCTTGTGTTGGTTATTATGACACACCATTGTTTTAAGTTGATCTGAGGGGAGGAAATATAATGGAAGTGTGAGTAAAATGGAGAGTATTGGCTCTTTAACTGCGTCTCCTGTCCTGCTGCTCGTGATCTTCGGATTCTCAGTTAGTTTGTTTGTTTTCGCTGAGTTTCGGAGGAGTCAGGGGGCAGTGGGAGTGTTAGCCTGCGTCTCTGACTCCGTGTGGAAGGAAGGCTGTGTGAGATCCTCAGCCGTTCCAGCTCTCAGGCTCTGTGTGAGAGCGGATGCTGCACTAACGCTGATGTATGTCGCATATTTGCAATTTTCCTCTCTGCTTTTATCACAATATTTCCCCCGTGTGGAGCCGCGGTGTTTGTTTCCCTGCTGTGACAGATTAAAGAATCGGGCATGTTTATACGCAGAGAGGCCGAGGTTCGGAGTCAGCGCTGACGGCACACCTGGGAGCAGCTGTTTATTCTTTAGACGCTGAAACACTGAGATTGTTCAGTTTTACAGCACAGCGCTGATGTATCCCTCCACCAGGAATACACTGCTAATATTTCTCATGCTGAGGTTGTTTAGCTTATTATAAGATCATTTAACTCATTTCCAGACGTTTAGGTTAAATCATCCAGTAGAACGTCTCACTGTACTGTCAGATAGTTTTAACATTTCAAGCAAAACAAGAAGAATTATATGCCAAATTAGTGAGAAATGACTGTAAACAAGTAGACGGTGTCTAGACATGAGTTAAATTATCTTATAATCACAACAACCTCATCATGACAAATACTAGATACATTGAGCAGATGAATCCGTTTTAGAGCCAAATATTCTCGTAAACAGTGTCTCAGTCATCAGGCAGTGAATTCATAGAGCTTTTAGAGGGGGACGTCTGGTTCCTATCACCACCACTGTGAACAGTTCTGACTCGGTAAGTTCTCTAGAATGGAGCCAGACTGCTCTGATTGGTTAGAGGCTCATTAGCGTATTGCATCCTGCTGTGATGTCAGTCATGATCAGGTTGTGATATACTGTATCTGTGATGTGGTTTGTGTTTGTGTGCTCAGGTGGAGGAGATCGTGGACGTCGGGACGTTTGCTGAGGAAGACATTCACATCCCCAGCGTTTACGTCCACCGCATCGTTAAAGGAGAGAATTACGAGAAACGCATCGAGGTGAAACAGCGATCCTTCCACTCGTTCATGTTTACTTTTTTAGTTTGTCATCAGGGTCGGAAGAAAAACGTGTAGCTCTATTTTGGTTGTTTTGATTTGGAAACACCAGCTGCCCTTAAATTACACAAATGCTTTCAATAACTAGTGGATCAACAGTCCTGGTGCAGCTGTATGTTAGATGACATCACCACATGCATTAGAAGTTAAGACCCTCTCCTTCCTGTGAAGTTAACGTTTGGAGACCTGAGGTTTTCTTCTGACCGTGACGATATGCTCTTAAGGCCACCCTGGACACCCCACACACTGGACACAGGCCGGAGGGAGAGCTGATAAACGGCATATTTGGTGTCTGAATTTGCTTCTTTAGTTTTGGCAATAGAGCTACAAGGCTAATGTAGCTAACAAGTAATGGAAGCTTATACCCCACCAATTAGCATCGTACCTAAATCATAACGTACTGTCATCTATAAACAAGCAGTAGCAGCAACCGCACAGTTAGCACCATGCTAATCGGTGGGTATCAGCTTCCATTACTTGTTAGCTACATTAGCCTTGTAGCTTCAGTGCTAAAACTAACTTTATCTCTACATTGAGAGTTAATTTAGCTTTTAGGCTGAACTGTGGCTTTAAACGAGAGCTGATGGTGAAGATGCCGCGCTCGTTTGTGCTGTGTGTGCAGAGACGCACCATCAGGAAGGTGCAGGCCGAGACCGCCAAGCCCAAGAAGGACGCAGACGTGGTGAGAGAGAGAATCGTCCGCAGAGCTGCGCTGGAGTTTGAGGACGGCATGTACGGTACGGAACCGGCTCACGTTCAGTCAACAGTAGAGTTCCTTTATTAAAGGAGAACTCCAGAGTTCTTCATCCTGATCTCCATCTGCTGGATCTGCAGAGCGCGGTCCTTCAGCACAGACAGGACCTTCAGCACGTTCTCCTGAACTTAGAACAGGGCAGAAAACTCGCCCAGTCTAAACTCACTATAACAGTGTAGTGTTGGGGTTAGATATGGGCCGATATGACTTTCATGAGTTCTTCAGCTAAAGATGTAAATTGAGCTGTAAATCGATATGATTGGTCCTTTCAGAGACGGGACTAGTTTTCCAAATGTCTAAACTTGCTTTGTGGAGTAACGTATTATCCCCTTACAAGGAAAACTGGAGTTTACACTGTCTTAACGCCCCTTTATATAAGTATACTTATGATTTTACCTGCATCCTGCATACCTGACACAAAATGGCCATGATGCCTTAAATGGTGCGGCAGTTACATTGTGGCGCCTTCGACTTCTCATTTAAATTATCTGTTTATAAATGTTTATTCCAAGACGTGTCACCTGTCATAAAGGCTTCTTTAGCCAACTTTGATCATATGTGGCCAATGTAACCTTTACAGTGAATGACCCCTGTTGGAATGAACATTTATAAACGTTTATGTGGGGTCATGTCATGAAAAGCTTATGTAGGTGTCGTGTAGCCTTATGAACAGAACCCTACAGTAAAGTGTTCCCCTCAATTCTGACTCGGTAAGTTTATCTAGAACGGAGCGTTTCACACCAAACCAGGCTGAACCGCTCTGTTAATGTCAACCACTTAATTCCCCTTTTAAGGTACACTAATGCAATACTGTGTAGAAACTACAGTCAGAAACCTGCCGACATGTTGAAGTGAATCTCCATGGTGATGGACCGTACGCTGCAGATACAGCAGATAATGTTGAAAATCGGTGGACTCGTCCTTTAAAAGACAGATTGAATAGCTGATTAGAACGTATTGGGTTCTGTTTGAGCTGACAGGACGGAACAGAGAGGGTCTGCATTATATCGTGTATAATGTTGTGTATTATATCGTGTATGATGTCGTGTATGATATGATGTGTTGGTGGTATCTGTGCTACGCCGCTCTGTCGTTCTTAGAGGTGTCTGAAAGTCTGATTGTTCTGATTTTTCCAGCTAATTTGGGAATTGGAATTCCGATGTTAGCCAGTAACTTCATCAAACCCGACATCTCTGTGTACCTTCAGAGTGAGAATGGCATTCTGGGACTGGTGAGCTTTCTCTCTCTCTCTCTCTCTCTCTCTCTCGCTCTCTCATTCTGTGTGTGTGTGTGTGTGTGTGTGTGTATATATACATATATATATATATATATATATATATATATATATATATATTTATGTCATATCAGACACACTGGGTGGAGCTAAACCGCTGTAGGCAGTGAATTTTGCGGTTTAGTGTCCAGATCTGTACTGGGGAGGGAATCTTATGTTTCAAACCTTTTAACAGTTTTACAAACTGTCAGACTGTTTGATCTCTATAATAGAAGGAGACGTCTGTGATTCGGCCCTGTTAGAACGTTTTGAAAAGGTGTCCTCAGACTGCTGTAAAGTGCTAAAGTGCAGAAACGCAGCATATTCTTCTGTTGTCTGACTCTAAAAACCCCACACAGCAACCTCACACTGCTCATTACCATTTTAATGGGTTTACAGGCTGACAGTGATGAGGATGATTTGGTTTATGGTCTCAGCTGCACAGCCACAATCCTGCAGCGAGATACGGAGGAGCAGATGTCTGATATTTGTCACAGGACTGTTAAACTTTTATGGAAGTATCTGAGCGTCTCCTGCTCCTGTGTGTGTTTATTGCTCCTGTATGTTTGACGAATCTGTCTTAAGCTAAAGATCAACCTTTGTTAGAGTCTGTTTATTAATAGAATCCGCTGTCAGTCTCTCCTTTCAGCTGTTAACCTTATTTCCTTTTAAAGAAACAAACTTCAGGCACATCATTCGTGATTATTCTATAGAAACCGGAGTTTAATGTTGTGCCCTGTCTGTCTGTGTGTGCTGTGTGAACCCTGCAGGGTCCGTATCCCACTGAAGAGGAAGTGGACGCTGATCTGATCAATGCAGGTGGGCCTGAGTTTTCGGAGTCTGTGAGACGTCTCGCTCTTTAATCACTGTTCAGTATATTAAGCGATGCACCTCAGCGGTTTCTGAGGACGCACTGCTGTGTCCTTCCCAGCCCCGAGTTCCCATGAGCCTCTGCGGCTACGATAAAGGAGCAGAGCCAGTTCGGAGGGAGTGCGGGGGGATTAGTTTATGTTGGCCCATTTGTTTGGGAAAATCAGCTCCACACTGCAAAAAATGACATCTTAGCAAGTGACAGGGATAATAACTCTGCTGTTTCTCATCACGAGACTGTTGTTAGCAGATTATAAGATTACCAAATTTATTCATTTTATCTGGTGAAAGTGTCTTTTTCTATGGGCAGATCATTTTACTTGATTCAAGAAATGGTGCAGACAAATAATATTTGAAACAAAGAAAATGATTTGCCAGTCGAGATACTTTAGTGAGGTAAAATGGCTTAAAATAAGTAAAAGTGTCTAAAAATGAGAGTAATAATCTTGTAATAGTCTGAAAATAACCTCATAATGAGAAATATGAGATATATAGACTCGATTTAGGGTGTTTTCCCTTACTAAGAGATCATTATTACAGTGCAGTTTAAAGGCTGTAAAGGATGTTATGAACAAGCGCCCTGCCATGATACAGTCAGTTATAGTAATAATAATAATAATAATAGTAATAATAATAATTTCAATTTATATAGCACTATTCTCAAATCCAAGGTCGCTTTTACAAAGGCAGGAAATAAAATAAATAAAAAAACAAGCCTTCAGTGAGCAGAACAATAATTATCAGTTTACCTCAATAAATGTATTAATTTACCTCATTAAAAGCTCCTTAATCAACAAACCCCTCAGTCTTTCTCCTGGAGGTGTTTAATGAGCAGCTAATGAGCAGCGCAGCAGAGCAGCTGTTTAACTGCTCACTGGCTGATCTAACGCCGCGTCCCAAACCACACACTTCTGTACTTCAGCTACTGCACTAATGAGTGCACTTCTAATGGGATATGCACTGTTTTCACACTATTTAGTGAGCTAGTATGCGGTTTGGGACAGAGCGCTAATAACACAGCAGGAAATCTCAGCGTTTTGATTTCAGACTTTATCAGTACAGCAACAAATCAAGTAAAATCAAGACAAAAACGAGTGTCTAAAAGTGTGTGTAAGTGTGTGTGTGTGTGTGTAAAAGTGTGTGTGTAAAAGTGTGTGTGTAAGTGTAAGAGTGTCTAAAAGTGTGTGTAAAAGTGTGTGTAAGTGTGTGTTTGTGTGTGTGTAAGTGTGTTTGTGTGTGTGTAAGTGTGTAATTGTGTGTAAAAGTGTGTGTGTGTAAAAGTGTGTAATTGAGTGTAAAAGTGTGTCTGTAAAAGTGTGTAAGTGTGTGTGTGTAAGTGTAAAAGTGTGTGTGTGTAAGTGTGTGTGTGTGTGTGTAAAAGTGTGTAAGTGTGTGTAAGTGTAAGAGTGTCTAAAAGTGTGTGTAAGTGTGTGTAAGTGTGTGTAAAAGTGTGTGTAAGTGTGTGTAAGTGTGTGTAAAAGTGTGTGTAAGTGTGTGTAAAAGTGTGTAAGTGTGTGTAAAAGTGTGTAAGTGTGTAAGTGTGTGTAAAAGTGTGTAAGTGTGTGTAAAAGTGTGTAAATGCTTTGTAAAATCCCAGTTTAGCTGTTTGCAGCAGGTATTTTCCACACGGTCACCTGAGTAAGAGGGCGCCGTCGCTGCCGTGGTCCGTGTGTGGTCAGCGGTGGTGACTTCATGCTTTAACGAAGCTGTTTGTGTTCTATCCAGGGAAAGAAACAGTGACGGTTCTTCCTGGAGCTTCGTACTTCTCCAGCGACGAGTCCTTCGCCATGATCCGCGGGTGAGACCAGCGTTTCCATATGTACACTTATCCACGTTTAATCAGCTAATTAACTTAAACCACGTTAGTTTTGCTCCTCTGGGCTCAAAACATACACATACAAAGTCTGACCAATGAAAACCTTCCCAAAGTCTAGTAAAGACCTGCTGTATTTCACCATATTTCTCTCCTCTCAATGTAAACTGGGCGGTCCTAATCTTGGGTGACGCTTCCGTAAGCACTCCCCTGACCAATCACAAGGCTGTGTCCCTTGCCCCGCCCACACAGATCAGAGTCTTCAGAGAGAAGCTTAGTGAGCAGCATCACTGTACAGCTGAACGCGCTCGGAGGAGAACGACAGCCGCCAGTTCTGTTACATCAGCGAACAGACGCCTGCACTGGCTAGCCTCGTGCTTAGTGATGGGGGGAGACGGGGGGCCATCCTGCCCACCCAGACAGCACTCTTGGGCTGTGTTTTTAGCTGTTAGCGCTGGGGAGGCTGTGCTTCTCCTCGCTGTGTTTGGCTGTTTTCAGCAAATTAAAATAAAGCTGCGTTTTGGAGCGAAACCTCAAATTGTTTACATTTCTTCCCCGAATGTTGCAGTTTTTACCGCTTGCCTTTATTGATAGTCTACATTTAGCCAAAAATGCTAAAAAACAAATATCCTAATCCTGAAACTGAAAATGTAATACCTGCGTAATAAATGTCTGAGTAGTTGAATGTTCGGGTCCAGCTGTACCAAATATCAACACAACTTAAATAAGTGTAATTTATCTGACCTCTGCTGTTCGTTTCTAAAGAATCTGTGCATAAAGCTGTCCTGTAGTGAGTGTTTATGGGGGGATATTGTATGTAGTTCTGATTGTTTACTTTGGGGGTCTTGGCTGTAACAGTGTGTTAAACCAACCCCCGCGTGTGGAGGCTGTACTTTAGCCTGTCTGTCTCTCACTGTGAGCTGTTTATCTGCTTCTAAACGCCGCTATATTACACACACCAAGAGGAGATTACAGTAATGTAGGAGTGAATTCTGTACAGATCACTGATCAGGATGGAGAATGGCATAAACACTCAGGATGGAGAAAGTTACTGTTATGGTATTAGAACAGTTTTCAGGGAGAATCTGGAGGAATATTTGTCTGGTTATGTTGCTGAAGGGAATATGAGAAAAGCTCTTCCTGCTGGATCCTGATTAAATATGTGAGATTTGTTACCCTGTGTTAGTAGTTTGTGTCCCGCACTCTCTGCACTGTTATAAATACAGCTCCATTATCGCAAACAGAGGCACTTTCAGGGCATTTTCGGTCTTATAACACAAACTGTGCACAGAGTGTCCTGTCATTTTTGGCTAGACTGCTCCATCAGGAGCCAGTTTCAGCTTCCACCCCCCAAAACACGAGCATCACTGTCCTTAATCAGTGCTGCGGGGGTGGACGAGCCCACATGCAGCTGCATTTTTTGGGAAGGAGCACCTGGCACGTCTGCACGGAGGAGTTTCAACAGGGATATATATATATATATATATATATATATATTTCCTTATATTTAAATTACATTACATAATTGCTGAAATGTTAGTTACATAATAAATTCCGTTTATATTCACTTCACCTTCTGCATCGACAGATTTGAGTTCTGACTTTATTTGAAACACATTAAAATATCTCGTCTTCCGTTTACGAACTTTAGTGTAATATGAGCTGAAAGTTTAGAATCTTTCCTCACGATTTCTGCGCTTGTTTCATTAACCTGCGTCAGAAACAATTCCAGTAATGCTACATCGTGCGCAGCCGTGAGTGTGAAAATAAGGGTTAATGTTAGAGGGGGTGGCAGCGCCTCAGGCTGCAGCGACTGACATTTGGAGTGTCTAAAAGCAGACGGGCGATTTAATTGGAGGCTCGTGCGGCTCAGCTCGGACACACACGAGTGAGAACAGCACTGAAAATAAAAAATGTCCCCCAAATCTCTATTTCACACACTAGAGCACTATAGAACACTATTACAGGGAACAGAAATGGCCACTAATTGCTATTCACTACACTAGAGCACTATAGAACACTATTACACGGAACAGAAATGGCCACTAATTGCTATTCACTACACTAGAGCATTATAGAACACTATTACAGGGAACAGAAATGGCCACTAATCACTATTCACTACACTAGAGCACTATAGAACACTATTACAGTGAACAGAAATGGCCACTAATCACTATTAACTACACTAGAACAATATATAACAATATTACAGTGAACAGGACTGCCCCTTAATCACTATTGTCTGCATTAGAGCACTGTAGAACGCCATTACAGTGAACAGATCTGGCCCTTAATCACTATTCCCTACACTAAAGCACTATAGAACACAATTACAGTGAACAGATCTGGCCCTTAATCACTATTCTCTACACTAAAGCACTATAGAACACAATTACAGTGAGCAGAACTGGCCTTTTATCACTATTCACTACACTAGAACACTGTATAACACCATTACAGTGAACAGAACTGGCCCTTAATCATTATTCCCTACACTAGAACACTATAGAACACTAACAGTGAACAGAACTGGCCCTTAATCACTATTCCCTACATTAGAACACTATAGAACACCATTACAATGAGCAGAACTGGCCGTTAATCACTATTCCCTACACTAGAGTGCTAAAGAATACTATAATAGTGAACAGAACTGGCCCTTAATCATTATTCCCTACACTAGAACACTATAGAACACCATTACAGTGAACAGAACTGGCCGTTAATCACTATTTCCTACATTAGAACACAATAGAACACTAACAGTGAACAGAACTGGCCCTTAATCACTATTCCCTACACTAGAACACTATAAAACACTAACAGTGAACAGAACTGGCCCTTAATCACTATTCCCTACATTAGAACACTATAGAACACCATTACAGTGAACAGAACTGGCCCTTAATCACTATTCCCTACATTAGAACACTATAGAACACAATTACAGTGAACAGATCTGGCCCTTAATCACTATTCTCTACACTAAAGCACTATAGAACACAATTACAGTGAGCAGAACTGGCCTTTTATCACTATTCACTACACTAGAACACTGTATAACACCATTACAGTGAACAGAACTGGCCCTTAATCATTATTCCCTACACTAGAACACTATAGAACACTAACAGTGAACAGAACTGGCCCTTAATCACTATTCCCTACATTAGAACACTATAGAACACTAACAGTGAACAGAACTGGCCCTTAATCACTATTCCCTACACTAGAACACTATAGAACACTAACAGTGAACAGAACTGGCCCTTAATCACTATTCCCTACATTAGAACACTATAGAACACCATTACAATGAGCAGAACTGGCCGTTAATCACTATTCCCTACACTAGAGTGCTAAAGAATACTATAATAGTGAACAGAACTGGCCCTTAATCATTATTCCCTACACTAGAACACTATAGAACACCACTACAGTGAACAGAACTGGCCGTTAATCACTATTTCCTACATTAGAACACAATAGAACACTAACAGTGAACAGAACTGGCCCTTAATCACTATTCCCTACACTAGAACACTATAAAACACTAACAGTGAACAGAACTGGCCCTTAATCACTATTCCCTACATTAGAACACTATAGAACACCATTACAGTGAACAGAACTGGCCCTTAATCACTATTCCCTACATTAGAACACTATAGAACACTAACAGTGAACAGAACTGGCCCTTAATCACTATTCCCTACACTAGAACACAATAGAACACTAACAGTGAACAGAACTGGCCCTTAATCACTATTCCCTCCATTATAACACTATAGAACACCATTACAGTGAGCAGAACTGGCCGTTAATCACTATTCCCTACATTAGAACACTATAGAACACTAACAGTGAACAGAACTGGCCCTTAATCACTATTCCCTACATTAGAACACAATAGAACACTAACAGTGAACAGAATTGGCCCTTAATCACTATTCCCTACACTAAAGCACTATAGAACACCATTACAGTGAGCAGAACTGGCCCTTAATCACTATTCCCTACATTAGAACACAATAGAACACTAACAGTGAACAGAACTGGCCCTTAATCACTATTCCCTACATTAGAACACAATAGAACACTAACAGTGAACAGAATTGGCCCTTAATCACTATTCCCTACACTAGAACACTATAGAACACCATTACAGTGAACAGAACTGGCCCTTAATCACTATTCCCTACACTAGAGCACTGTTGCAGTGAACAGAAATGCCCCCTAATCACTATTCCCTAGTGTTAGAGAACTATAGAACGCCATTATTCCCAGAGGAAAATGCCCCTTCATCACTATATCCTGCACTAGAGCACTATAGAACACTATTATAGTGAACAGAATTGGCCTGTAATCACTATTCACTACACTAGAGCACTATTACTGTCACTATTGAAAAGACATGGATCCCTGATTACCATTCCAGTCATTCAAAATAGTCAACATTAGCTCACTCTGCTATCTGAAATCAGCTAACGCGTCTAACCGTGCTAACTGAAAATAGCTAACGCTAGCTCACTCTGCTAACTGTCCTGCTGGTTTGTGTGAGTGTCAAAGAATACTATTACAGTGAACAGAACTGGCCCTTAATCACTATTCCCTACACTAGAACACTATAGAACACTAACAGTGAACAGAACTGGCCCTTAATCACTATTCCCTACATTAGAACACTATAGAACACCATTACAGTGAGCAGAACTGGCTGTTAATCACTATTCCCTACACTAGAGTGCTAAAGAATACTATAATAGTGAACAGAACTGGCCCTTAATCACTATTCCCTACATTAGAACACTATAGAACACCATTACAGTGAACAGAACTGGCCGTTAATCACTATTTCCTACATTAGAACACTATAGAACACTAACGCTAGCTCACTCTGCTAACTGTCCTGCTGGTTATATTACAGTGAACAGAACTGGCCCTTAATCACTATTCCCTACATTAGAACACTATAGAACACTAACAGTGAACAGAACTGGCCCTTAATCACTATTCCCTACACTAGAACACTATAGAACACTAACAGTGAACAGAACTGGCCCTTAATCACTATTCCCTACACTAGAACACTATAGAACACTAACAGTGAACAGAACTGGCCCTTAATCACTATTCCCTACATTAGAACACAATAGAACACTAACAGTGAACAGAACTGGCCCTTAATCACTATTCCCTACATTAGAGCACTATAGAACACCATTACAGTGAGCAGAACTGGCCGTTAATCACTATTTCCTACATTAGAACACTCTAGAACACTAACGCTAGCTCACTCTGCTAACTGTCCTGCTGGTTTGTGTGAGTGTACAGCCAGCCTGTCTCTAATGATCTATATCAAAAATACATGATTATTTCCGTCATTGGTATTGAAAGGAATATAGATTTTCTAAGTTTTGTTTTAAAATCTTCTTTGTTTACATACAAATCTTTATTGTTTACATACCGTTCTGTGTTTCATTACAGCGTTTACCTTTTGGCTGCTTGTTTTAGTCATTCTGCCTTTAAAGAAACTCCAACATTTCTGAAGGTGATTGATTAATTAATCAGCTCTTACAGTAACTTCAACACGTTTCCCTGAACTCAGAGCAGAAAGCTCATTTAAAGCATGTGTGTGTGATGTAAGCGGAGGGCCGACGTCGCTGAGTGTTTTCTTTAGTAATTCTGGTCTGGAGAGATTTTCTTTGTGCGTGACATTAGAAATGAGTCCTCTGTCCTCTAAAGGCCGTGCTGGCGACGCGTTATCGGCCTTGATTGATTTTCTCCCGGGTGGTTTTATGCCTTCTCCCTCCCACATGGTGTGTGTCATTTCTATGTGTTTGCTCTGCGTGAATCCAGCAGAGGCTGTAAATTCAGCCTCTAATTGCGCGGCGGCCGGTCGACTCCGCTGTAGCGCCGCATGAGGAGTCGTGACCGAACATACAGAATGCGGCATGGACGCCCACCGGCAGCCTGGACACTAACTCAGGATCAAGAAACCACCTGATAAATCACCATGATGGGGCTAAAGAGCAGCACACGCGCACCTGTCAGTGTCAGTGGGTGGCGATCTGCCTAATTGGACTGTATACGTTGACTGATAACAGTATTACCTGCATACAGGACTCAGATACAGCTCCGTTACTCACCTGCAGAGCTGCATCAGCAGCCCACATCACTCTCTGCCATCTTTACTGTCTGCTTTACTTCCTGTTTTCATCAGCCTGTATTCTTTATTAATTTCTGTAGATGTTAAGTGTGTGTATATATATATATATATATTTATAGTGGAATAAAACCAGATTCATTGTTGATGAAAGCAAGAAATGGTTAACCTGCTCAGAAATGGTTAACCCGCATCAGATTTTCAGATGATCAGTGCGAAGCTGTAAATAAACAGTTAGATGAGTCCAGAGTGATGAACAGAACTGTAGGTCATGACAGAAAACGCTGCAGAACATCCAGAAAGAAGTTCTAATCAAACTCAAAAGTGGTGATCAAAACCCGAGACAGACATGTTGACAAGCAATCACTGTAAACATGTAATTAAACTATGTTATCATTCAATCTTGTTCCTGAAATGACAGAAATGGAAATATAAGGTTTTGTTTTGATAGTGATAATATATACATTATAATTTATACAAAATAAAAGTAAAAAAGGAAAATATAAAAGTAGTTGGAGTCTAGTGTATATAATACTGTTTATAACTATATGCCGTATCTCGCTGTTGTCGGAAGAAAACATCTCCAAAATGTAACTTTACAGGAGAGGGGAAAAAACATACTTTACTTTTAATGGAAGTCAATGGAACCAGAATTTTTTGCCAAGTCATTTTGGGTCATTTCTTTTAGTTCATTCATCAGGAAATTTACCTACAACGTAAAGAACGACAGGTGTTTTCAAAAAATGCCGAAAACGGAAAAACGTCAAAACTGGAGATACGAGGTTTTCTTCAGACAGCAGCGATAAGTTACTGTTATTGTCTGTCTCTCTGTCTGTCTCTCTGTCTGTCTATCTATGTATCTGTCTTTCTGTCTCTCTATCAATCTACCTGTCTGTCTGTCTATCTCTTCTTTTGTCTGTCTCTCTGTCTGTTTGTCTATGTATCTGTCTGTGTATGTTTTTCTATCTGTCTGTCTGTCTGTATCTGTCTATCTGTCTATCTTTCTGTCTGTGTATCTGTTTTTCTATCTGTCTGTTTGTTTATATATCTGTCTGTCTCTCTGTTTTTCTATGTGTCTGTCTGTCTATCTTCCTGTCTGTCTGTCTGTCTGTGTGTTTTTCTACCTATTTATCTGTCTGTCTATCTGTGTGTCTGTCTGTTTTTTTTACATATTTATCTGTCAGTCTGTCTGTCAGTGTGTCTGTCTGTCTGTCTGTCTGATCTGCAGTTCAGTGATGTTTTCCAGTATAGTTATTTAGTCAGTTTGATGACTCAGATGGTCTGAATAGCTGTAAACATGCTGTCCCAGTTACAGACGGTAGTAAAGCGGATGTTTATTGTTATTTAATTGTATTTATTGCTGTTTTCTCCAGGGGCCACATCAATCTGACCATGCTGGGGGCCATGCAGGTGTCCAAGTACGGCGACCTGGCCAACTGGATGATCCCTGTAAGTGTCCACTGTTCTGCTCTTTTCCTCGTTTATTACATTTTTGTGTGTAAAATTCTGTTCATTAGGTTCATTTTGGTGGAAACTCTTGTGATCAGGGTTTTTGTGTTGTGGCTGCAAAGACGAAACTCCACTCTTCAGCTTTGAGTTATGATGTATGAATTTGAATATGGATTGTCGATCAGTAACTGCTTTCGGCTGCTTTGAGCTCTGAAGGGGCGGAGCTTCATACAGCAGTTTTGCTGTGCAGACATTTTTTTAAACATCACCAGATCCGACTTTTGAGGTACAATCGTTTCCTAAAAAGTTGGGACGCTGTGCAAAATGTAAAACAGAATGTAATGATGGTCAAACCATTTAAACCCTATATTTCATTGACTATACTACAAAGACAACATATCAAATGTTGAAACTGGGAAATTTTATTGTTTTTTTTTTAGATATTTGTCCATTTTGACTTTGATGCCGACAGCGTTTTCAAAGGTGGGACGGGGGCCTGTTTACCACTGAGTTTCATCACCTCTTCTTTTAAGCATTTGGGAACTGAGGAGACGCTGCTGTAGTTTAGAAAGTGAAATGTTTTCCTGTCCTTATTTGATACAGGATTTCAGCTGCTCATCAGTTCAGGAGCTCATTTATCATATTTTTCATTTTATAATGTGCCAAATGTTTTCAGTGGTGACAGGTCTGGACTGCAGGCAGGTCAGTTTAGCACCCAGACTGTTTTAATACAGAGCAATGCTGCTGTAATACATGCAGAATGTGGTTTGACATCGTCTTGCTGAAATAATCAAAATCACCTATGCCATGTGCACCAAACCGCCCCCGCCCCCCCCATACCATTACGGATGCTGGCTTTTGAACTGTGCACTAATAACAAGTGGGATGGTCCCTCTCCTCTTTAGCCTGGAGGACACAGTGTCCATGATTTCCAAAAAGAATTTCAAGTGTTGATCCGTCGGACCACCGGACACTTGTGATGCGAATTTTAGCTTCCATTACTTGTTAGCCACATTAGCCGATATAACGGACCAATCCTCCGTCTGAGTATAAACTCAGTTTAATTCCACGCTCTTCAGTTTCACTTCCTCTTCAAAAGCCCCTCTGAAGCCCCCAGCAGAGACGGACATGTTCCCCTCAGCTTTTCTCATTAAGCTCAAGATGGACGCACAGCGTGTAGCTGGAGATCGTTTATGTAAAATATGGCACAGAAACGTCCATTAACAGCAGAGCAGGACTGGCCTGTTGGGCGTGTAATGAGAGAGGAGCGGATCGGTCAGCGAGAGCTCGGCCATTCAGAGCAGCTCGAATTCATCTGGAGCTCGTACCGTCCGGAAACGGGCAGCAGAGCCGCTTTACCGCTCTAATATCCACGTTTAAACCAGCAGTTCAGAACGAGAAAATGTAATAAAAATCAGTACAGTTGTTCTCATGCAGCTCTGCACAGGCCTGATTTCAGTAACGGTTACAGACACTTCATTTTATCGGCTCTGTCTGTGGAGTTACTCGCATTTAAAATAGGAACATGATAAAATGAAAATGCTCAGTAATGAACATGATTCCTGCAGTGAGGACTGAGAATATCTAGTCCTCCATAAACATATATTTCTGTTCAGAACCTGATAAGCCAGCTTTGTTCTTGGTGTGGTTTAGTAGTTCTTGGTGTCGTTTGGTAGTTTTGGTATAGTTTGATTGTTCTCAGGAAGGTAGTTTGGTAGTTTTTGTTTCGTTTTTGTTGGTATGGTCTTATTGTTCTTGGTGTGGTTTAGTTGGTCTTGCTGTGATTTTGTTGTTGTTATTTGTTGTTATTATTATTATTATTAATATTATTATCATTCTATTAATAACAATAACAAGATTTTGCTTTTTTGTTTTTACTCATTTTGATGTTACCACAACATCCAAATCACCTGCCATCGCCCTCGTTCGAGTTTGGCGAGGGAAGCCGTGCGGTTTGGTTTTAACGATCACGGTAGGAGATATGAAGTGCTGCCCTGTGCTGCTGTATGAAGTTCTGAAGCTGCAGAATTTATAAAGAATATTTACGATTCAGACGTTAAATCAAAGCTCCTGACAGAAATCTGATCACTTTAGTTCGTCTTTGTAATATTTAAATCGTCTAACTTGATTGTCAGTTGTGATGGATGGTCTCGTCAGTGGTCTCAGGGCTGCTGCTCTTCAGTCTTGTGTGGAGCTGAACACAGCAGCGTTTGTTTTTTCCTGCCTCGCTCTCGGCCTCCAGGCAGTAATGAGTGCGGTTGCTGGCGGCGGATTTTTGGAGATGTTCTTCTGCTGCCTGTCACCGATGGTGCCTGGTCCCGCTGTCAGTTCAGGAGGCTGCAGGATCCACACAGACGCGCACACCTCCCTGCCCGGGTTATTTATAGCGCTGCCTGGCTGACGGCTGCCTGGCGCTGACGGATGCCTCCCAGGCTGCAGCCCGGCTCCTCTCGCTTATCGAGTTTGGTGAAGGTTATTTCTGCGAGCTGCTCTTCGCTCTCTTTTGTTTTTTTGCCCCTTGTTCTCGGGTAAAAGCCGCTTCAGGCCATTCTAATGAGGCCGAGGATCAGGAGGCCGTGCTGGCGCTGGAGAAACAGCACCCAGCCTGCTCTCGTCTGAGTGACCTTCTCAGACGTTTGTGAAATGTAAAGAGCCCAAATCTGAGACTTTTACTAGAATCATGATTCATTTCCACGTGATCGTTTAGCCTCTCTTTACCCCTCAATAATTAACCAGGCTGATTCTGTTACTGCGCCTTTAAGACTGATACATGTAAATGAGCTCTGTTCTGATTGGCAGCCTTGTAATTTTTCATTAGTAAAAAGATTAAATGGGCAGGGCTAAACAACTGTAGGCTGAATGGGCAGGGCTAACGTGCTACAGGCTGAATGGGTGGAGCTAACCTGCAGTAGGCTAATGGGCGGGGCTGAACTGCTGTAGGCTGAGTGGGTGGGGCCAAACTGATGTAGGCTGAGTGGGTGGGGGTAACGTGCAGTAGGCTAATGGGCGGGGCTGAACTGCTGTAGGCTGAATGGGCGGGGTTAACATGCCATAGGCTGAATGGGTGGGGCTGAACTGCCACAGGCTGAATGGATGGGGCTGAACTGCTGTAGGCTGAATGGGCGTGGCTAACGTGCTGTAGGCTGAGTGGGCGGGGCTAAACTGCCTGTTTTAATGTTTTTCCTGCTGTAATACAGCCACTCTAACTCAGTAACGGGCTGTTAATGAGCTGATTAATTGGATCAGGTGTGTTCTCCGCAGTGTGAACAGTGAAGGTCCAGGGTGGGGCGGTGGTTCTCCAGGACCAGCGCTGAGAATCCTGCTCTAACAGATCTAGAATAGTAAGGTTATGAGGAGAACGCTTGGAGGATGCAGCAGCAGCAGGCTAACATTATTAACCCTGAAGCGCTGGACATGAATAGACGGACCCACAGAAAGGTCATTTTGCATCATTTGAATATGTAAGGCAGTTTCCCAATATCATATTTCTGGAGGCAAACATTTGACATTTGGTGACCTGAATGAAATTAAACACAGAGTCCGGCAGCAGAGCAGAGCCGGCTGCCTAGAGACACGCGTGGGTTTGTTAAATGAATATATATGGAAGACTTTATTATTATTATTATGAACACATGTAGGTATTTAAATATGTCTTATACATGTGGGACACATTACATGTAGGACCTTGTATGTATGTAGTAACACAGATACTCAAATCATCGCCGTCAGAACAAAATCTCCATTTTCACCATTTTATTTTCTTTATTCAGTGAGTATGGAGGCTGGGTGAGTGGGCGTGGTTATTCAGTGAGAGTATGGAGGCTGGGTGAGTGGGCGTGGTTATTCAGTGAGAGTATGGAGGCTGGGTGAGTGGGCGTGGTTATTCAGTGAGAGTATGAGGGCTGGGTGAGTGGGCGTGGTTATTCAGTGAGAGTATGGAGGCTGGGTGAGTGGGCGTGGTTATTCAGTGAGAGTATGGCGGCTGGGTGAGTGGGCGTGGTTATTCAGTGAGAGTATGGAGGCTGGGTGAGTGGGCGTGGTTATTCAGTGAGAGTATGGAGGCTGGGTGAGTGGGCGTGGTTATTCAGTGAGAGTATGAAGGCTGGGTGAGTGGGCGTGGTTATTCAGTGAGAGTATGGAGGCTGGGTGAGTGGGCGTGGTTATTCAGTGAGAGTATGAAGGCTGGGTGAGTGGGCGTGGTTATTCAGTGAGAGTATGAAGGCTGGGTGAGTGGGCGTGGTTATTCAGTGAGAGTATGAAGGCTGGGTGAGTGGGCGTGGTTATTCAGTGAGAGTATGGAGGCTGGGTGAGTGGGCGTGGTTATTCAGTGAGAGTATGGAGGCTGGGTGAGTGGGCGTGGTTATTCAGTGAGAGTATGGAGGCTGGGTGAGTGGGCGTGGTTATTCAGTGAGAGTATGGAGGCTGGGTGAGTGGGCGTGGTTATTCAGTGAGAGTATGAAGGCGGGGTGAGTGGGCGTGGTTATTCAGTGAGACTATGGCGGCTGGGTGAGTGGGCGTGGTTATTCAGTGAGACTATGGCGGCTGGGTGAGTGGGCGTGGTTATTCAGTGAGAGTATGGCGGCTGGGTGAGTGGCCGTGGTTATTCAGTGAGAGTATGAGTATGAGTATGAAGGTGGTTATTCAGTGAGAGTATGGCGGCTGGGTGAGTGGGCGTGGTTATTCAGTGAGAGTATGGCGGCTGGGTGAGTGGGCGTGGTTATTCAGTGAGAGTATGAGTATGAGTATGAAGGTGGTTATTCAGTGAGAGTATGAAGGCTGGGTGAGTGGGCGTGGTTATTCATTGGGAGTATGGAGGCTGGGTGAGTGGGCGTGGTTATTCAGTGAGAGTATGGAGGCTGGGTGAGTGGGCGTGGTTATTCATTGGGAGTATGGAGGCTGGGTGAGTGGGCGTGGTTATTCAGTGAGAGTATGGCGGCTGGGTGAGTGGGCGTGGTTATTCAGTGAGAGTATGAAGGCTGGGTGAGTGGGCGTGGTTATTC